AAGCTCATATGTCAATGCAAACAGTCATTTTTAACAAAGCAGCCCTTAGGGGGGAAAGAAAAAAAAACTTGGCTGGGCATGCCTACAAGTCTTACAGTTGGGATGTTTGTTTGGGGTAACAATAGTATGAAAATTGTGCGGTTGGACAGCTGAAGAGGGTGCAGCATGAGAAACATCTGGAACGGATGTGCACAAGCTTTCATCTGCTGGAGTATTTACTCTAAATCACAGTAAACAAATGGAAACTGTAGCACGCTGGTAAAGACTTTAATGACACAATGTCTGTAAGATGAACCTAAAGAATGGCAGGGCAGTTATGTGGCCTACAGTGTTGAAGGAGGGATTGTTTTTCAGGAGATTTCCCTCTCTTGGGCCTCAAGGAGGTGGGAAAGGGAGAGAAAAGGAGAGCAGGGATTTGTACCTGTGTGGGCTTTGGACAATTACACTGCAGGTATAGCGACAAAGCTACAGAGAGATTTTCAGTGGGAGAGATGACTCACTGAAGACATTGAATATAATAAATGAATTACTAATTTGTAAAAGTACGTTTGCTCACGTTGTATGTATCATCAACTAAAACATTCATCCTTTGATCAGTAAAATGTTACATAGGTGGCATTTTAGTTTCTAACATTATCACCAACGTTACTGCCGACCTTTAAGTGGGCCTTCCTCGATTGCATGACCTGTTCGCCTGCCTCTGTTGTCCATCTGCTTTTTCATAGTTTGTTTTGTTTCAGATGATTTACATAGCTGGCTTTCAAAGCCATCTGTCCTCCTGTGTTTCTTTCTGTCCAGCTGTCTATTCACCCACTGTGTTTGTACATCTGCCTTCCTTCACAGATTGTGCGACCCAATTTAAAGACCTGTTCTTTTGAGATACTGTTTTTGCTATGTGGAGGCTTCAGAAATGGACAGGGACACCGGAGCTGACAACACAGTCAGGACACTTTGGTTTATGGGGCAGAAGAGGAGATGACTGTGCACAGCAACAGCTAAGGTTACATTGATCAGGCAATATAGCGACCTTTAAAAAAAGGGAATGCTGGGAAACAAGAGGAAAAACACAGACTGCATGGAAAGATTAGATCAGTCCCAGTTGAGATCTCTCTTAAATGCTTTTGGCCCCACTTGTTGCAAGCTACATCCTCATAAACACCTGCTTCTGTGCGGATTCTGTTTCCCTTTCAGAAATCTTTCAAAAAAAAAAAAAAAATCCTGAAATTAAACTAAAAACCAAGAGAAGGAAAGAGCCATTCCTTCATCGTTTGTACAGTACACACTGAAAAGCAAAGAAAAATGATCTTCCCCTGCTCGGTTTCCCATCTGCCCTTCCTCCTTCCCTCCCCTTGCTCTACCACAAAAAACAGCACCTTGCAGGATGTGCGGTTTCTGGGCCTTTGATAGGGTTAAGCCGGCAGTGGAACTGGAGGGGCCGAGGAGGAACAACCCTCCTATTCAAGACTAGGCCTGTAATTTCGTCGGGAAGGACATGTGCTGCAAGCCTACTGGTGAGACGGAGGGAATAAAAGAAACTGAGAAGGGAAGCAACCGTGGTATAAGGCCAGTAAAATAAAAATACTGCAAAAGGGGGCAGAGGGCTTAGCAAGCTCTTAAACATTAAAAGGGAAAAAAGGCATGCTATTGTTATAGTGCTAATCTAACAACCTATAAGAACACACTCGAATAATCCACTGCCACCATACCGGTAACAGACACCACAGGGACACCCCGGAAATCTCAAATTCTTGTCATGATGTTTTTGAGCTGATTTAATAGTTTTCTTTATAATGTATTATGAGAATCCAGAGGCGAGTACAAATAAGACTGCTCCACAACACACACACACAAAAGACAAATAACAAAAGTAATATAAATTTTACATGTTGCTGTACTTAAATACAAACCAGCACCTCTCCTCTTCCTGCAGTTTAGCTTCTGTGAACCTGACGCTCTACCACTAGCTAGTCTGTACTGTAAAACAAATTGCACATATCTGTTGCCATATTTTTAATTTACCTGAAAATGAGTAAGCTTTTTCTCTTCCTAATGCTCATCTTGTCTGCTTTGAAATAAATTGGTGTTTAATATCCCCATGCTTACTTTATTCATTTCATTTAAAAACAAACAAACCCTGAAAAGACAGATACGTTTGGAGGTATAATGGGCTTGATTTCCTATTCAGATCTTCATAGGTTAAAGTTTGGAAAAGAAAAATAGTTTCAAGGTCAAAGACAATGGATAACATGCTTTATCTGCAAATGAGCAGCTGGCTTAGAAAAAGCACAAGTAAAAGTTTGTACATGCACACACACAAACACATACAGACACACACCATGAAGAAACACACATGTCCATTCAGGCTTTTCTAAAAATACTATTACAAACCCCTCTGTGTCTACACACAGGCAGTATTGATTACTAGGATAATGCCTTTAAATTAGACTCTAAGTAGCACAGAGCTTCCTTGTGTGCTAACCTTGTGAGTGTCAATAGGGATCTATGAATGTTTTTGTAGCGATGTGCTCTGTGTCTATGTGCCATTTGTCTGCATCTTTCATCTTTTCAGTCGTTCCGTGTGATCAAACGAGAGGCTGTTTGGTTGAAAAGCATGTGCAGGGCATGACTGAGGCTTTATAGTAGGATATTGTTAGTATACTGTATATGAATATATTCAATTCAATTTTATTTATATAGCGCCAAATCACAACAAAAGTCACCTCAAGGCGCTTCATGGATACAGAGAAAAACCCAACAATCATATGACCCCCTATGAGCAGCACTTTGGCGACAGTGGGAAGGAAAAACTCCCTTTTAACAGGAAGAAACCTCCGGTAGAACCAGGCTACGGGAGGGGCGGGGCCATCTGCTGCAACCGGTTGGGGTGAGAGAAGGAAGACAGGATAAGAATACATATATCTCCTTAATGTTCAGTATATGCAATCGTTTGGTTTAGCTGATAACTTCTATATAAGCTGACGTTGTGCAAAAATGCAGTAAAGTATAATTAACTGAATTTGGGGAATCTTGCGAACTACCAGCTCTGGGACGGCAAAGACAGGAAACAGAGACATTGACTCAAAGATTTATCCCTTCACTTTAATCTATATTTATGATGGAAAATATGATCAAAAAAGTTGGATTTTCTCTCCCCTTACGAAAAAATATTAATCTTTTCCAACTTGGCATTAATTTATCTGACAGGTGAAACAATGCTTTCATTGCCCTGCAAAGTTGATTCTGCTCATGTGGACGAGAGAGACATCAATACAATCCTTTCACTGAGACATCTCCAACCAAGCGTTAACATACTTGCTTCCTTTAAATGTGGAGTCTAATGTCATGTATTGAGTATAAAGTAATTTAAAAGTTGTCTTTCAACTGCACTAAAATAAGGGCAGTACATTTCCCAGAGTGTCAGAGTAATAATGTTGTTATTGAGTCACTGTGAAACTAAGAACATTAAAAAAAAGTCTCATTTATTTCATAGAAATACAAATGTTGGCCAAATGAAGCAGAGCTCAGCTAATTTATGTACTAATCTGGAAACTATTTCTACACCGCTTCCCAGGAAGGACAGTTGAATTACAAGTTGTGCCGTGATTTCTGTGCACACTGTGGGGCATGGGGAGCAGGGCAGATAGAACATCTGCCCTATCGGCATGATGACATCCCATGCATCTGCTTCGATTTCCCGAAAGCCAAATCAGTCAGATAAAGTACATTTCATTCTTTAAATGCAAGAAACTCGTTTGGGAAGCTCTGCCTTGGTTTGGTGCCATGTTTTGATTACACACCATGCTATACAAGCTAACAAAAGAGTCCCGCAAGTCTACAAGGTTTATCAGTTTATGTAACAATTCAGCAAGTTAGAAAAAAAGAACCCAAGAGGTAGGGCAGTATTTAAAAAATTCTCATTTGTTGCAAGCACCAGAGAAACTTGGATCATGTTACAATTTGCTTCTAAACAGGAACTAAACCTTTTGTGCAAGTCAAACCACATTAATGTGCTTACTACACAGAAAAGTTCCAATTTTCACACCATCTCAACAAGTATGTTGATACGTGACAATACCAGACCTCACCACTGCCAACCTGTACAGACCTGGTTTAGTGACACCTCAACTCAATCTGAATGTTAGCATCAGGAGCATCTGCTTGACACTGAGCAGTGCAGGTTGGGGGTTAAAGTATTGAAGTGCCTGGATGGGTACACTACAGCTTGTACTTAAGGGTAGATTTCAGGGGCAGGTGGAGGATAGTGTAATAACATTCATGTCACATGTCCGGGTATCTCTACTTAGACTGCTGGCCCTACGATCCAGAACTGGATAAGGGCAGAAGATGGATGGATGGAACCCTCATTTTGGCCTTACTGTGAAAATGTTGCAGCGATAAGATGCAACAAGATTGACAGGATGGTTTGTTCCCCAGGCCCCACACCCACAAAAAGCCAAGAATCTGGCTTGTAGTTGACAGGAAATTTTTATTTGAGGAAATACAGTAGCTACAATAACCACATAAGTGTCTTCTTAACTTTAAACCCATTATAATTAACCCAGCTGATCATGACAGTGAATGAAAACCAAGAAACCAGTTGAAACGCATACTGAAACCAGTTCCCACCAACAGAACACTTTTGGGGGAGGTCTTCCCCGCAGCCACAGTAAAATGCCACAGAATTTTTGCCAAGAGCCAAACTTCAAAGCAAAAGCATAATCTAAAAATCAAAGCGATATAATTATGCTGATATGATGCACTTTTTCATTTTCAGCCATATACGCGCACATGTATTTTTAAAGGCTGTTTAAGGGCTGTGAATGAATCATCAGAGCTCCATCTGAAGCCTACAATCATAATCATTTTATCATGAATGATTCAAACATTCCTAGAACTGAGAAAAACAGTAGAACCACATCCTTCAAGCTTGAGCTAACCAAACTGACAGATAAAAAGAAAACACTGAGAATACTTTATACTAGAGGATCTGATTTTTTTTAACACTCGCAGGCTGATGCAACAAAAATGTGTAAGGCTAAACTGCACTGTGAGGGCATAATAATGAGCCTGCTTTGATTCAGATGGCTTCCTGCAGTGGAGCTGAGTTAGGATATTTAAAAGTAGGCACAGATAAATATTTCCAACATATTCCCCATCCTAAATTGTGAAGATCATCACCTGACAAGGAAAAGATTAGAAAGAAAAAGTTGGAATGAGCAAATGTGTTACGCCAGCTCATTCCTTCGTGGTATTCAGAAGGTGAATTCAGCGCTGCCACAGCTTTCCGCTCAGGTGTAACATTACAACAATATTCTTTGATTTTAATTGAAATGTGTTTGTGTGATGTTCAGGACAGCAATTGCGATCATTTTGGTAAATGAATATAATCACTAATAATCAAGCCAATTTTGAGTGAACACCTACAAAACAAGTCACAAACCATCCAGCAATGGGATTACACCACCCCTAGCACCAATGAGTTCTCAGACCACATGCATGAATAAAACTGCCCATGGGCATCTACTGTAGCAGTAATGATGGTTTTGAGTACTTTAGCAAGTGTCTTTTTTATTTATTTAAATCTAAGAGGAAACTGTGTTAGCACTGCACAAGACACAGTCGTGCAGTGTAGTTGTTCATATATTGCCTTCCAACCAGGTGGAGACACAAACCTAGCCTCCGGTGGTAACATGCTAGTGCTGGTGCCTGCTCAGATAAATGGGAGGGTTGCATCAGGAAGGGCATCCGATGAAGAAATGTATGTCAAATCTAATATGCGGCTCCATCTGCTGTGGCAGATTTGGAAGTAAGGGAGCACTTTCTTCTATTTGACATCAAAATGAATGTTGAGTTCAAAGACAGCCAACGTCCAATCCATGAGGACAAATTTAAGGACTCTGTGTAGTAGTCAGCAAAATGAAAGCAGAGTTCAAAGATAGGTGTGGTCAGAGAACTCGGTGGTGTCATAGCTGGTGTAAATCCATCATAAGATGGTCTCTACTTAGGTCTTTTCTCTGATCCTAGCTTAAAAAAAACAAAAACAACTGTACTTGCTGTAGCTCAAATCACACCCTCATCTTGGCCCTCACTCAGGTTTCAGACAGAGCGATCTCACTGTAGCCCGAGGCCCAATCACTCCCCTTGTCACAGTCCCAGTCACGAGCAGCAGGGATTGATTTCTCACAAGGCATCTGGTGGTGAAAGCAAATCTGTGAAGAACGAAAAGTCCACAATGGTCCCAACCCACACTTCGCAGGGCACCAGAGGCTAAGACAGGCTAACACTATCAGCTCCAACGTGAACGCACACAGAGCGAAAACAAAAGAGCGAGGAGGCTTCACAAAGACCTCATTTCCAGATAATTATAGTGGAAGCCAATATGGAGGAAGTGACAGAGAGTTACGTTCTGTTATCTCCTCAGACCTACCCTCAGGGAGGCTTTAACTGCCAATCCTCTCTCCGTTTTTTAAAGTACCCACGCTTGACTGAGAGCAGGCTCTCAGTCTTGTTCTCAGGGGCTGAGATGACACATCTTGAACAGAATAAATGTCCATCGGAACATCTCGTTAAACCCTTTGCCATGGTACCTATGTGGAAAACAAACTTGTCAAGACTGGACAGATGAAATCAAATGCCAGTTTTGCATGCAGAAGGCAACCCCAACAGGATCCACCCAGGGCTTTTGGATTAGCACAAGAAAGATCGGAGAATGTGGTCTACCTTTGGGCAGCTGTTAAGAGTGTGACAGCAAAGGACAAAAGGGGGCGAAAGAATAAAAGAACAGACAGATCAGTTTTCACTGCCCTTTGTCTTTTTACTGTAAGGCAAGCAAAACTAGCCATTTCTTTCTCTGTCCCCCCGAAGGCTCAGGACATGAAGGCCACCCTATTTTTCTGCAAGTGACCATAGCACCATCGTGCATGTGCCACACAACCAGCCAGGTTACTATGTGTCACGTCCCTCTGACACATCATTAACCAGGACAAATCACAGGACCCCAGGGTAGACGGGAGCTTCCTCCACACTGCCTGATTAAAAAGTAAGATATATGAGGCATGTCCACAGTGCTTGTGCGCCTGCTGGAAAGCTGACTGCGCAAGTGTACACACACACACACACACACACACACACACGTTTACATTTTAATTTTTTTTCTGAACAATCTTATTCCCCAGCTATACTGGTGGCAGATTCTGTCATCCTAAGAGCAGATCACCATCTATAATTAAGGAGATTAAAAAAAAAGTTTTGTGGACTATTTTCTTCATGATGGTTGGTATCATGCTCCACTTTGGATTGAGAGAAATAGGGCACATCAGGAGAGACCAGACCGATCTAAAAAAACAAACAAACCCCAAAACAAAACAGAAAGCATAAAAAAACAAAAACCAGAACTTTCTTTGCAGCTCACGCCATTCCTATTAAACTGCAATAAAATGGGATGTCAGACTCCACAGAGACTTCTTGCAATATGCTGCACTTCACCCTAACCTACAAAAAAAATCCACCAGAAAATAAAGCAGTTTGTTCGTTTTTTGTCTCATACAGACATTAATACAATTAGAAATGAGATCTGAATATCTTCATTGGACTCGAGTATAGTTTAACTCAAGGCTTAGTAGCTCATACCAGAAATTTCTACTGGCTAACAAACCTTTTAAGGTACTTTGGAATTTTACCTGCATTTCAACCACAGTAAATGAGGACACTGTTAAGGTTTCTGCCACAAAAAAGAAGAAAACAAAACTGTCTGTACTAATTTACATTAACCCTGAATTTAGTGAATCTAGGGGTAAAATTTGTAAGACTATATGTAGTAGACTGGTCAAGAGGAAAAGTTCAGAGCTTCATTCAGACAACAAATCTTGAAATCTGTCAACTGGAAAAAAAATGTATTAAAGTGCCAGTTAATCTAAATGCCTTTTGCCATTTAATTTTAGAAGCAGTTCCTTGTTTAGTTACTGATTTTAAATGTGAAACTTAATTTTTCTTGGAAAAATATGATGAAATTTTTTTTACCGATTACCAATTTCAGCTGTAAGAACTGGTTTGTCTCTTGCCAGTAACTGAGCAGTTAAGTTGCACAAAAAGACAACTTTGACTTAAAAGTTGTCCATTAATCTTCTGACTGTCTGCAAGTCATGATATCTACACAAAAGACACAACCAACCAAGTGAACAGAGGTGCGAGAGATTAGATTTTGGAATTCAGGTCAAAGATCAAAGGTCAGCAGTTTGCTGACTAAAGGGCAAAGCTGTCCTGGCGAGAAGGCTTCCAACCGAGGGTCAGTGAGGACAAACAGCAAAACGGACAGACCGACGGAAACAGAATACCATGAAGAAGCATGCTCCAAACATATCAATTATGAACTTTTAGGATAAATCGGTGAGGGAGTAGTAAACGTGCTACAATTAACTTTCATCTAACTTTAAACCACAAGCAAGCACAAATATTGGCCATTTCATCTATTCGATAATAACCACATGATACGAGGCCTCATGACAACAAAATAACTGTTATTTCTGGAAACAGCTGGACAGTGTTGCATAGAAGCAAGGAGAGTTTTCAGGAAAAGTTACATTTTCCATGATGATTGGAATGATAAAACAGAACTATAAATACACAGCGTTATCTTTTCCCTTAGGTTTATTTAACCGTTCAGTACTAGTTATCTCGGGAGAAACTCTCTTTCAGGCTAAGAAACAGAGTGAGAAGGGATATAACTACAGCTCAAAGAGGACTAAGTGGGACTCTCTCCACATGTGACTGCTGGAAGTAGGACTCCAAGAGGAGGGGAGGAACATGGCTGACAGACCTTTATCCCTAAATGGCGCTTTTTTTTTCTCCTCTCCAAGCACCCCACATATCTGTGGCTGGAACCACAGTTTTTGCTCCAGTTTCCATCCCAAGGGAGGGTGGAGCAGAGTTCAGACTAGAGCTCATAAGCCCAGCCTGAGGCTCCTCGAACACTAGCCCCGGCTGCTGTACACTCAGTTCGTGCCTCCTCCTCCTGCAAACCCACAATGATCCTTTATTGCAAGGCTGATAAGCTGAGACCGTGGAAAACTCTCCAGTTCCTCCCTACATTAATACAGACTTTGTGGTGTCCGCAACAGCAGTACTCAATTATATTTTTAGATGAAAGACATGGGTGACTTCTTGTCTTTAACCTATGGTCAATCAGACCTACACACACAAAAAAAAGATTAGTCATTTTGTTGACATCTTTCTGACTAGATTTTATAACCCCACCCCCGAAATCTCCTCAGGGCAGCAGCCCAACATGGTAGTCGTGCCTCAAGGGGTGGTCTCTGGCTATAGATCAGGAGGGCGGCAGGCTAAAAGCTCTCTTTCCTCAGGTCATGAGGTCAAAGTAGAACAAAGAAAAAAAAAAGGGGGGGGGGGGCAAGGAGGAGCCACAGGATCACTACATTAAGCTTGTTCACCAGCGTTAAGGCCAGATGGGAAAGACAGTTTATGGCAGATCGTGAAGTAAGAAATTGTCTTGGAAACAAAGTTTCATACTTGATGCAAAATACATTTCATGCACCAGCATTTATCAGACCCAAAGAAACTCTTTATTTGAGATTATTAACAGGTGCTTTCTTCACCTTTGCAATTTCATGTTGTCAAGTATCACAAAGCCTGTTAATTTGTAAAAATTTTAAGAAGTAGGGAAATGTCATACAATTTGAATGCATTTTTTTCTTCCAGATTACGCATGGATTGACTGACCAAGACAGTGTTATGCAAGAACACATTCCAGATGGTGTGCAAAACCAGCAAAGAAGTTGAATTGTTGAGTTCAAGGATATTACACATCTTTAAGTATGCACACGTTCAAATACAAATATTTCACTTGAGCATATAGCGGAAATTATAAAAGAAAATACATTTCTTCAATACACCAAATCACTAGCGTAATCATCTTTGTCAGGTGCTGGGAATATGGGTAACTATTTGATGAACACCAACAAGGCTCGACTTGCCAGCAAAATATTATTTGTCAGTCTTGTCGTACATTTGATTGTTTTGAATTCAATTATTTCAAGAATGCTGGGAAGGCTGCCAACTAAAGGCAATCAGAGGTGAAAAGTAAACAGGCACAAACGAAGGCTCAAGATCAGTAGAAGTGAGCACAGTTGTTAATAATAGACTGTATATTTTTATCACTTTGGTTTAGGCTTTAATTAAGCCAAAATATTACGTAAACATTCTGTTTGTGCAAAAGACCAGAAAAAAGTAGAATATTTTCAGTTTCTCTTTCTTAAAAAGGAGAAACTTTTCCCCCACACAGCTCTAGAGACCAGTCAGTGACCATCTGGTAACCACCAGTCACAAGGAAAAGTGTGTATTCTGCAACTGGTTGGCAAGTGATTGCTGGCAGCCTCTAGTGTGAAACTGGTTGCCAAGAGGCATGTGTTACTGCACTGAAAACCTCCTTGCAACCGTTTTGGTTAGTAGCAGATTGGCACAGTTGCCAAATTAGTTTGCTTGGAAGATGCAGAGTCATCTGCAAACTATTCACCAAGCAGTAGTCAAACATAGAAAAGTGTGATTCAAACTGTAAATGGAAAATGTTTGCCTTCAAGATAGAAGTTGCACATTTTGAACCGTTTTGACTGCAGCAGCAAGGCGTAACTTACACTTCTACATTTCTGGTTTGTGTGTCACTTTAAGCTTTACTACAGCTTAGAGAGTAAATAAATGACAAATATTTGCAGACAAGTCGATGTTATCGATGTAAACAGTCGACCACTGTAATTTGCTAGCAACCAAAACAATCACAAAGAGGTTTTTTTTTAGTGCAGTAGCCTCTTTGTGCCTGATGAATAAACTACCTCAGCAAAGAAGCTTCAGCTTCCCTGGTCATGGTCAGCCAAACCACTGACACAGGCGGAAAAAAAGCAACCAAAGTGGCAGATGTCACATTGTTTAAAGGAACCCAGAACAAGGACTAACGAGAGACTTCACTTATAGAATGTTTGCACTCGTCTTAAAAAGCTTTCACCACCGCTAACCACATAAACGGCTTAGAGCCGCAGATGAATCGGATGAACACACAGACGCAGTTTAAAACAAGTCACCCAAGTCAGAGCCTGTGACCTCCGCCTTCACTTATTCCTGCCCTGGCCTCATACTGTCCTCTCCCTTCCCCCAATCTTCTTACCCCTAATCCAGGCCTACTGGGTGGCAGACAGCAGCATGGCCTGGTAGTCAAACTGTGTCTATCTGCCTTCCTGTCTGTCCATCTGTTGGGCCTCAGCCATGGTTCAAAGAAATTAAGGTTGTCCAGAGAGTAACCAAAATCTCTGCAAATCCCCAACAAAACCTCCTTTTTACTTTAAACTTTCGCTTTTAATTCCGGTTTTACTTTCTTCAAGCACGGTCTTGTTCCATTTATACCCTGCACCTCATATTAGCTAATCCAGTGCAGCAACACACTGGATCTCATCCAGCTCATTACTAGGCACTTACATGGATTCTTCTTTTTGCGCCAACATCACCAGAGAGAAGGAAAATAGTAGTTGAAAGAAGAAAAAAAGAGGAACAAAAGCCAACCATTTAGTCCGAAACTTTACTTTCAATTTATTCGGTCACACTGCAGTAGGGTACATTTCTGGGAAGAAACTGAATTAACTGGATCTGAAGACAATACACCAGGCAACATGTTTGTTTGGTTTGGGGAATATAGTGACATGAATGGGGGCAGGTTTGGCTCTTTTTTTCCTTGTTGATGGTCAGCGTGGGGGGCTGCAGTAAGGTCCCGGTAGCCTTTGTGGTGACAATAACGAGCAGCAGGGAATGTGAAGCTTTGCTTGTGCTCAGCAGAGTTTATTAAAACTACAAAAAGGGTGAATGGCCACAGATGGTGCTGTCAATAACAATTCACCCAGCCATGCAAACACACACCCATGCACAAAGACAACACCCAGTGCCATACCACTGCATGTGAGCCCATTACAAACACCCACAGTTATAGAAGTTTGGGGGGGGGGGGTTAAAAATTGATGATAAGTGTGTGAACGGATGTGTGATACTGTGGAGAAGTGATCCAGGAGGAGTTAGAATTACGTTAGTCTTGCAGCCTTTAAACTCCATCAACACTCTGCCAAGATGGAGCATCACACATCCACCAATGTACACCACGGTATTGGTTACAACTTAACTGTTGTGGGAAGTGCAATACTGTTAGTAAAATGGCTCTTTGTGTGAACTGATTGGCTGTTGGCAAAAAGCAACGTAGAAGAAAGCTGAGCTGAAATTAGAGGCTTGGTGGTGTAACTACAGGTTGGTGTTAATGGGAAAAAAAAAATCTGACCGTTGCAAAAAGGGTCATGTTATACTGACAGCTGGCTTCAGAGCCATTCACACCTTCAAACTCACATCTGATAATATTTACTGAAGGAGGAGGCAAAGGTGACACTGGGAAATAGGAGTCTGCTCAGACAGCTGCTCTATGTGGATTAACCCAAAGTATGAAACAACCAACAAACAGTCCGTCAATCTATCAGCGACTAGATCAAATGTAACAAACTTCTAATGTTACAAATTCAATATTTACGATACTGACATTAATAACTGGAATACCAGAAACATGAAATTATGTACCCAAGGATGGAAAATTGGCTAATGGCTATTTTCGGGTTCTGTGTGAAATCCCTCTTCAAACAGATTTTTTTCTAAACAGATTAGTTTCTGAAGTATTGTGAAAACTTCCCAGTGTTTTATATCTCACAGTACTTCTTCTAGACTATTCTAAATAAATAAAGACAGCCTCTATAGACTACTCTCCATGCTAAAGCTTGGTAGCAGGCAGAGTTAAAGCAAAAATCCGTCCACATGATAACCTGATGTCACATGAACATCACATGCAATGCATGATGATCCACAAGCACGCCTCCATGCATTTGAAGAGACGTAAATTTGTGCTGATAGTAAAGTAAATTAACTAATCACACTTTTAACCACAAGACAACTCTTAGCTATTTGAAAAGTAATTACCACCATACAACCTCCCAGCAGTTTCCTTCCTTTAATCCCCCTGCGTACAAACATGGAGGGACCATTCTCTTTGTATGCAAAGGGGCAGAGCTCTGATTTCAAAGAGCAGTGAAGTCAGGTCAAGGGTCAGCCTTTATAATGATCCAGGAGAGGACCCCTGTCAGAGGTTTTAACGGGTTCTGCCATCTGAGTCACAACCCCCAGGACACAAACAGCAAGCTAGAGCCTGACATCAAACAGACATTTCACCCACAAGAAAACATTGCAGACAGTGTTGCCCCGTTCCACCAGTCCACAGAAACAGAGGCACACAGAGAATTGCAATGTACCCACAGCTTTCACTTGCTGGTTTACAATTACTTTAATTGACTGCAACTGATGCACGTTATAAGGCACAAACAAACTCCACTGTCTAAACCCAATCTCCTTAATGTTTTTGTTTTCCCAGATCAAGCTGAGTCTTGATGTAGATGCCAATTCTTAGCAGTTATAAAGAATTAAATCCCCATGCAACAAAGCATTGTCAATAAAATGATAACTGCCTTCAATTGCCAAAATGACTTGCTTTACATTTCTCGTAGGAGGTTAAAAAAGGCTATTGGACGGGACTTATGAAACGAATGTCAGCTGAATGACAAACCAGGCCTGTGAACAGTAGTGTAAGACTTTGTAGGAAAGCGTTCAGACAGTCACCGTGGAAAGCTACTTTAAATACATCACATTTACTGACTTGAATAGCAATCCCACTAAGCACAAGCGTGCTGAGCACAAATATGAAAATGATGAGTCGCAGGGAAAAAAAGGAAGAAGCATGAATTGTTGGTGTAACGATGCAAGTCTCCTGTCAAAATCAAGGCAGAGGGTTTGAGGCTACAGATCAGTGTGCTTATGTAAGACGCAGCAAAACTGGCTTCCAGAGCTCTGTCAAAATATTGTGAAAATTCTGTACTTTTTAAAAGCTGTGAGACGGGGAGAATATTGGCCAAAACATCAGAGTGTTGGCTCCAGTTGTTGATGTTTTTTAGGATGCTTGTTGTTCTACTTCTAAAGTAATCAATGTCTGTTCACCAGATTCTGCCTCTGGCTGTCACCGGTCATTGCAGATTAAATCCCACTCATTACCACCCTTAACATATAAAAGGCTTTACAATCGCTGAATCAGGAGCTGCTCTTCTGAATGCAGAAACCGTGCTACTACACTACAAAGCATTTTCTTCCTGTACTACTTACTCATATCCCAATGAGCCCAGCAGCTGCCCCCCCCCCAAAAAACCCAAAACAAAACAAGTCTTCCTTTGCAGGCGAACACCGACCTAATAAAGATTCCTCTTTTTCTGTTTAACAGACGACACAGTATTGATAAGAAATACAGTGTTTACCTGTGGTTAATTATAGTTAAAGATAAATTCAATCAGTCGTTTTTGGAACATACATTTGAAAGATAACAAATAATGCATCCCTCAGATGGAATACCCACGGGTTATTTACAATGCAAAAAGAACCAGAACAGTACTTTATGCAAATAGCTGTGCACCGCCTGTGATGTTAACTCCCCTGAAGAAAAATATCCTACCTAGAGGATATTTACAATGCACGACAAGCTTCAGAGCATTAGCCTCAGAATTAGATTCAACAAAACAATACACTTAAACTTTGATTTACTGAGGCTCTTCTGGTGCTGTCAAGCAGCAGCTATTCTCAGCATCAGGTGCTTTTTATTAACACACCAACTTCCTCGAGACAACTGAGAGGCCAAGTCATGTCTTGTTTGACATCGTTTATGACTGTGCATCATCTTCTATTACTGGCTGAAAGCCCTTAGTCATCCTTGCAGGGGGGTGCAGGGGGATGGGGTTCTGAATAACCCTTAGCAAATGATAGCTTGCTTTCATGCAATCTTGTAATTCCTCAACCAACACTTCTCTATACCCTTCTTAAAGCCCCACCAACCACCACTAACCTCTCCTCTTTTCTCAGCAGTTAAGGCTGGCTATGGGAGGTGAATAGGTGGCATTTCTGCAAATTAATAGCACTGAGGAACAGAGCTGGTAGGCTGGGGACCAAATCCCCATGGTTACCCTGGAGCAGCAACTGCCTTTTCTGTCTGGGAATAAGCCAATGGGGGACTTGAAGGAGACAAGATAAGTTGGGGGCGACATCAGTGAAGCACACCTTTAAATCACATACCTTAATCTAGGCACTGAGCAGTTTTATGTTTTAAAGTGTGTGTGGCATTAAGTGGGAAACAAATTGGCATAGAATACTAACCATCCACTACTTCTTAAGTGCCCCTGAGCAGTTCACTCAAAGTTAATTTGTGTGTATCTGTGATGCCTCAACTTGTCCTTTCTCACCTCTCCAGTTGCATAACCTTGCTGTGATATTATGGGAACAATGGCTTAACGACAAAAGTCCCACACCAGCTAGAGTTCAAGAAAAAATCTCAACAGTAACAGGTAGTTATAACACACAAGCGTGACTAAAAATGCAACAGGCCAAGTGGGAATAATTACAAGCATCTCGGTTGTTAAGGACAATGTGTGGACATACAGCCTTAAATAACAGATTTTATTTTATTTATTTTTAAAGGCTACAGGCCTGAAGCCATGTGAAAGACAGTGATCGCTTCTTTGAACCAGTGTCAGTCTATTGAGCGTTCTCAGTGGTTTTCACATGCAAAACTATGAAAGACTAAAAACCCTTTCTGAACTGTGACTAATGATTTATTTTGCTGACTACATCCCTAACTTTGTCCTGCTGGCACAAATATTATTGAGCTGTGGCAGCCCTCCAAGTCATTTTACAGATATCCAAGTTATATGAAGGCTGGACCTCTTGGAAAGACATGTCCTCGTTTGACTTGACCAAAAGGGGGTCATTTACACCAACTTTCTTTCTTAATCCACCTCACCACAAGTCATAGCCAGTGACCACCATCACTAGCTATGACTCATGCAGGTAGTGATGAACCAGCCTGGTCCCAATTAGTCCTTTCTCGGTTCTCCCAGCAGCTCCTACAAGCGCATTTCCCAGAGAAACATTTAACCCTCCCCTTACCTTTGACTTGACTCTCGTAGTCCGTGATAATTTCTTTATCCTTTTTGAACCTCGGTGTGGACATTTTCCGTCTTCCTATGTCCGAAACTTGTTGTAAACTTCTTGTATAAAGAAAAAAAACTGTCAACAAGCGGGATCCTACAGCTACCGACGCATCCCAAACAACACGAGAAAAATGAAAGCCAGGGGAAGAAGCACCGAGATTTTTTTAAGACTATTAGTGGGATTTAAGTCTGCAGCGGGACTTGGAAAAAGGAGGAAATGTTTATCGCTTCATTGTTCTTCTTCCCTCAGGATACGCGGCGGATACACGGCTGGGCCAATGCGCAATCCTGCTCCAACCAATGAATCCTCTCAACTATCCGAGCGGTCGGCACAGCGCGACAGCGCTGCTGAAACCACAGAAGAAGAAGAAGAAGAAGGAAAAAACAATCGCGCAAGTTTAGGGTCCTTCCGGCAGAAGTAGTGTCAACAGCATGTCCGAAGGGCTTGGAAGTCGGCTTGAATGGTTAAGAGTCTGCGCCGCTTTGGTGGTGGTTTCCAGTTTGAGACCCACACATCCACACGTCCCCCCCCCCTATGCTCGCTCTCCCTCAACGGTTTCTCGCCCCCCACCCCCGACCCTACAACTCAACTCCCAGCAGGCGAAAAGGCAGACAGGGCAAGCAAGCCGACTGCAGCACGCAGCAGCTGGAGGTAGGAAGGACAGGGAGGGAGGGATCTCCACAGTAGTGGACATCCGCGCCCTGACGGACACTCCTGCTGCCAAACCTGAAGGCTTTTTGTCCTTATTAGGGACAAACTACTTATACGTAACTTGAAATAGACGTCACATTATATTAGTTTTGCATTCAATATTTTCTTTCTAAATCAAAACGAAATGACGTTTTTTTATTATTATTTACAGACATTGAGCGCTCTACAGGGTAGACTAAACGTGTGGCCGCACACCTGTGCACAGCTCTAGCTGAAATACAGCGAGAAACCCCAAAATTCCTGGTAACGACCACGCATCAATATATTCTTAGCTAATATCGATCTGTGTCCTATACATCTCAAATACAATAGTTTGGTAGACATCCAGAAGTTTCTCCTCAGTTTTACGGCACGTTTCGTGTTTATTAGCTTATGTGAAAAGTAAGTTTCCCCACATATAATTATTTTTTATCAACTTAAAAAAGCGTCTGCATTACATTTCACTGGAGATCATCGCATCCACTGACATTTAGCTGGTCCACAGCGCCATCTGCAGGCACAATGAAAGCACAACCTCACATTTCTGTTCAGGACAATGCTCCATTTTATTTTACTGCACTGTCTTTAAAAAAAGAAAGAAAAAGAAATCCCCACACACATGCAGCACAGAAGTGAAATAAATATAAAACAGCTGATTTTTTTTTTTTTTACCACAAAGCAAAACATTTCATCCCAACCACATCCATTTGCAAGCAGCTCACAAAGAGAAAAGATTTCAAAAGGATATCAGGGTGTTAAAAATGGTGCAAACACATTACAATCTCTTCTACACATATTATTTAGTGTTTCCTAAAAATCACAATAAGAATTACTTAAAAACACATAAAACATACTTAAAGTAAATTAAGGGTTGTTTTTTTAAAATGCAAAGGCAGTTCATAATCCTCTATCTCTAAATGTATGTACATTCCAGTTGTAAACATTTAGATGATGAATATACTTAAATATCACGAGGCCCCTTTCTGACTAGTAATGGCAGCTTTACAACTTTACTACACACATAAATTATTTTTTTAATAACCTGTGCCAGAATATTGAAAAGAACATCACCACTTTCACTATGTCAGTAGCACATCACATTTCTCCACAAACCATAAAATAAATAAAATCAGTTTTAACTGTCAACCACCCCGCTGATATTTAGAAGCACCACAGTCAGCCGTTTTTGAAGAAGGTCTCTTCGATGACCTCGGTGAACCTTTCCTTCATCTGCTGACGAAAGCTGGAATACCACTCCAGCAGTCTCCTCCTCCTGTCCACCCTCTGCTCCTGTGTCATCCCTCTCTCCCTCTGCAAGATGGCTGGGAGCTCCTTCCAGTCGCTGATGAAGATGAAGGGCGCCCCTGCAGCTTTTAGGAGTCGTAGCGGGGAGCTGGGCCCTGCTGCACAGCTCCCAGGTGTCATCACATCTTCCACCACGGGCACGGAGCCATAAGAGCAGGCCTCGTAGATGCGGTAAGACTCTGTGTTGATCCCAACTGGGCAGAGAGTGAGCTCGCTTTGGGCCAGAGCTGTCTGATAGCGTCTCAGACTGTCTGCTGTCTCCTGAGGGAGCCACCTGTGGCAGGTAAGAAAGGGAGATATTTCAGTCAACAGTTTAAGCTACCCCTATAAACACAGAAATATACTATAATATTGTTCCATGTAATTTACATTTAGAACTCAAAGCTGTCTCACCTCAGCTCCATTTATTATTAAACAAGTCAGAAAAGTAAACTTAAATGAAGTGTTTCTTGGTACAAAATTGCCATAACCTAAATATAAGTGGAAAACTGAGCACGTGTCATAATTATCTATGCCTATATAATTAGGGCTTGATTATCTTAAAGGCTTAATTTTATTATTTACTTTCTTTATTTAAAAATGTATCTGAAAGCCTTAGCTGTTCACAGTAAAACCAGGGAACAAGTGTTTGTGTTGATGTGGCAGCGTTCAATGATTTAGCACATCAGTTTTTCTTGATATTAAAAGATTTAAACCAGCAATGGGATTTTCTTAGACGAATGGCTTAGATGAATTATCTGTAGGGGTACACACTGAATAAATCAATCATAACATAAATATTGCTAACATTAAAAATTAACAATTAAATTCTTTATCAGCCCTTAAATTAGCATTTATCTTGCCAGTTGTTTGATCTTCGCTACTGCGTAGATTACTGATGAACCGCACTGCACTGAAATTGACTTAAATGGCAGTGAAGACTTATTGCAGTTATTCTCCTTGACATTCCTTAGCATAATCCTCTTTCTTATTCATTTTTCTTTTTCTTTAAGGAGATTTTGGTCAGATTCAGTTGATTTGCCCTACATTTTGCCCACATGTGGATTAAAAGCTTAGGCCTCTGTGATGTCTAATTTTAACCAAAGTCATTTGGTTCCCTAAAACTTAAATAAGTTTTGGATTTCACTATGCAAGACTAATAATTTGAAACCGCTTGACCATGAAGCTTACTGTAGACATTAATAGTTTCACAAAGATACACTAGGACGGCCTTAGTGGCAAGATGTTCTTTATACTATTCTAAATATCTCAACTTTTTGTCCTCTTGTTATAGCTGTGTTATAGCACAGTCAGCCAAAGTAAAAATAATCCAGCCAATAAAAAAGTAAAAGATTTTATTCTTTCAGATAAGGCAATGAAACAGGTAATAAATAGTGACTTACTTTTCCCTCCCAGTGGTGATGCAATCCTTTTCCAGGCCAGACTGTGTCAGAATATGCATGAGTGTTTCTCTGGAAGAATTTTTGTAAACAGTTCCTAAGAAATTGCAGAGGTATGGCCGGTTGGAGGTAATTAACTGGGCATTAGGCCTGATCATTGGAAACTGTCTGTATCTGTACAGAGACAAAATCGTGGCATTATATTAGACAGCGTTACTAATTCAAAGAGGAAATATGACACATACACACAAATTAGACAATAAGCGAGGACATACGTAGCAACACCAAGAGGCCACTGAAAGACATCCTTGTCATTGACCCAGGGGCTATCATACACTACAAACAGGAGGTCCACAAAGCCACCATTTCTCTTCAGATGTGGGCTGATCCAGTTGTTGTTGCAGTGCTCATTGCCCAGCAGAACCACAGCAACGTGAGACACTGTATTGGACTGAACCAGAGTTTGGACGTGCTCCAGCCACCGTGTGGAGTAAGTGACTTTTTGCTTTTCGCGGCCATTGAGAACCAAAACCAGACTATTCATGTCCAGAGGCACATGACCCTGCACCACTGCAGGACCTGTGTAGAAACTAGAGACAGAGTGATTTACTAGGATGGGGTCACATTTTTTTCAGTAAATATGTAATTAAGGCTCAAGTGCAAACTATATGTTTGTGCTTTTAAACTTTATCTCTGATCTGTTACCTGAAATCAATCTTCCCTGACTGCAGCTCCCCCTCTCTCCATTGTGCTACCTTGTCAGTGGGGTTGAGGGGGCCCTCTAAAACATGTTCCCAAAGGTAAAGCCCTGTAAAGAAAATAGGTAGACGAATGACGGTTATTCTGTAGGCCTCCAGGTATGAGATAAAATATATGTAAAACCATAATATCTTGCCACAGAGCAAATTATTTCCATTTTTAGATGACATCCAAACCTCCTTTCAGGCTGTGACACATTAGATCATGACCTACCTATTGCAGCTTTCCCCCATATCTGGACCTTGTATCTTTTGGGTTTGTTCTTGTCAATTTTACCCAGGTACTGTTTGAAGGCCTCTCTCTTTTTGTTCAAAGCAGAGTTGTACTCCACCTGTTCATCCTCCCACGGATTCCACTCATCAGCAACGTATGGAGCACCGCCATCCCTTACACCACCTACAAACCCAACACACCGTTATCTATTCAATTTTCTTTCCACGCGAAATTAAATAAATATAATTTTTAATTATCGGCTCCTGTTTTTAGGCGGCCCTCCTGCTCCGTGAAATTACCCGATTGTGCTCCCGTCTCTTTCTTCACCACCCTGTGAACGCGGGATAGTACTTTGGTGCTGAAGAAAACATTATACGCAGCATAGAGTGAAAACGCTACATATGCAAAAATAAGGAGAAGGAACAGCTTTCTTTTTGGTATTTTCATTGTTCTCCCCTTTTTTTCTCAGGTTACCATGGTGTATGTAGCTCCGTTTCTGTTGCAAGGACCCTTGTTTACATCACAAGGACCCCTGGATTCAGCTGACGGAGAAAAATGCCTGTACTAAAACATTTGTGTTTAGTTTGTAGGCTTTAGGGTCAAATTATCGTAACGTGTTAAAACCGACATTAAGTTTAAGAAGTCAGACAATATTTAATAACGATTTTTTTTGTAGAGGAGGAAAAGAAAGACAGTTAGGTTAATGCGGAACTTTAAAAAGAGTTGGGAGACAGTTTCCGGTACAGAAGATTAGAGTGCTACACACAAGTTACGTACCGGAGATTGTACACGCAAGGTCGTGTCCCCAACTGTGGGGTTGAGAAATCTTATCTTGGGCGAAAATGATGTCCATAACTGCTCGTCCCGGGGTTTTTCCCCCGTTTCTCCAGACAACAAAGCATGCACTAAAAACTTTGATGTCTCCGGGAGCCAAAGAAGTGGCCGTTGTTGCTGGTAAGGCCCAGTGACGAACGTTATTAATGTTAGCCGGGGTTGCTAATGAGCAGCATGATGTGAGGATAAAAAAAAACGCAGTACCGGCGTCTTAATTATTCTATAACATCTTAATGCTGTAAAATGTGAAACCTATTTTCGGAGGCTTCTTGAAAACTAATCGTAAACAACTTGCGATGGCTAGCAGGACGGTCGAAGGGTAATGGGCAATCTTTGACCTGACTGACAAATAGGACCCGAATAACAGCGTAGTGGAATAAGGAAAGATGGCAATAGAAGGATCTAAAGAAATATAGTAATATATATTTAAAGAATTCCATTTGCATGGAGGTGGTTACATAAAAGACATTTTTTAAGCCTCATACTTGCACAGTTTCCAATTTGATAAATATGAACAATGGTGCCTCGGTTTTGTAGCAAAATGTGTTTATTTTCGTTGTTTTGTCAAAATATGAAGATGTCAGCCTAGATTTCTATTATTTATTCCAAGTAGACCGAACAACCTGATGTTGTATAATTATCAGATTATCATATAATTCTAAATAAAAATTTCAAGCAGCTGTAGAGCCACAGTATATGATTTTTTTTTCCTGTTTGGCCTTTCACCATGTCAGATTTTCACTAGAATGTTATCATAGCTTCAAGAATTTACAATTGTTTAGAATATTATGTGCATTATGAACATGAGGCTTACATTTTTAGTGTCACCACTTTTTTTTATACCTGTGTATCAGTTGACCTAATTTGAAATTCCTTTTTCATTTCACTTCCATTTTATATGTATTGCATGCATTCATATTGAAAGGAGCAGACCCTACATTATTAAAGGGAAAACCCCAACAATGAGACATGAGATAACAATCAGTATGTAAAGCATTTAGGCAAAAAAAAAAAAACAACAACTCAATGTAACATTAAGAAAATGGAAGAACCAGGCTCAGTGAGCAACAACTACCCACTACAAAAAAGGAGAACACAAGGAGACGGCATAAAACACAGACTGTAAGACTGAAGTGATGAAGAAGTGCTCAGTGCAACATTGCCAGTCCACCAGCATGCTGAGTCTTTGACGGCAAAACTAAGGGATGGTTTCACTTTTAGGGATCTTTAAGAACAACCATATAAAGAATTACAGTAGGTAGGTTAGTCTCAAAGTACCAAATGGCTGCAAAATTAGGACGTGTGGAATTTACAGCATGAGCTCAAAACGTAGAAATTTAAAGATTTATTTTTGCCAAACCAAAGTCATTCAGTTTTTAGGGTCATTTGAATGCACCAGAAGTTATTGTCATTACAGTCAAATATGAATTAAGCCTCAAATTAAACAACACTTTTCTGAGTTGTTGAGTTTTTGACAGAAAATTATTATTTTGTGAGATGTTGTATAGTTTACTATCTGTTTATTTATCTCCTGCCTGTGTCTTTGAAACGTATTTGTCGCTTCAGCTCCTGGAGGAGTCCGCCTTGCACACACAGACATCAAGATTCCAGACTTTTCAGACTACCGTCGGCCTGAGGTTATGGACCCCAACAAGTCCTCCCAAGAGAGCAGTGAGGCAAGAAGGGCATTCTCTTACTTGTTCACTGGCGCTACCACTGTGGTGGGAGTTTATGCAGCCAAGACAGTCGTCACCCAGTTCATCTCCTCCATGAGCGCATCTGCTGATGTCCTGGCCTTATCCAAGATAGAGGTCAAGCTGAGCGATATCCCAGAAGGCAAAAACATGACCTTCAAGTGGAGAGGAAAACCCTTGTTTGTCCGTCACCGTACGGAGAAGGAAATCGCCACAGAGCAGGCAGTGAATCTTGCAGAGCTGCGTGATCCCGAGCATGACAAGGATAGAGTGACCAACCCCAAGTGGGTCATCGTTCTTGGTGTGTGCACCCATCTGGGTTGTGTGCCCATCGCTAATGCCGGAGAGTACGGAGGCTACTACTGTCCCTGCCATGGCTCTCACTATGATGCTTCAGGAAGAATCCGGAAGGGACCCGCTCCCCTTAACCTAGAGGTTCCCTACTATGAATTCCCAGATGATGAAACGGTGGTGGTGGGATAAATACAGGAGCTTTGCCTCGGTTCCTCTCTGTAATATGTATTTTCTGATGGCTCCCTGAGAGAATTGGGGTTGTGTATTTACTAATAAAGAATATTATATCCAACTCTATTATTGAAATCATGAAAAAAAAAAATTCAATTTTAACTGGGTTATTTTTTCAGTTCATTATGTTGATATCATAAATCAATTACACATTAATACTGAATCTTAAAAAGAACTTAATCTACTTACACAAACAATTTTTCACCACTTTATTATTGGGCCAATGACACAACTGTAGAAAAGCAAAGACAAATAGACCAGAAGAAAGTTTTTATCAGAAATGACTAAAGCAGGAATGAAACCATGTAAAATACAGAACCAAAACACCCACAACAGGTGCATAAAACTATATTTAAAAATACATATGCTTAAAAATAACTTGATTCATTAGTGTGAATTTTAACCTGTACATACATTTAATTATCTGACCGCCAACTCTCTTATTAACGATGTCTGGAGACACTTTCTTAAAGGCGATTCTTCATTCACGCTGATAAAGGGTTAACGGAGAAGGTATATGTCTATAAAACGGAGCAGAATCACAATAAAATGGACGTTAAATGGACATCTTTTTTGAACCACTACTCCACATGCTATATGCACATATTCACACATTCTATAGTCTATGTGTCTTATGCCTTTGGGCACGTTCACGTGAATAATAAGCACACACACACTCACACAAATGCTCATGGATGCATTAAGAGCAGCTTAGGGTTCAGTATCTTGCCCAAAGATCCCTCAACATACAGACTGGATGAGTCAGGATAAAATCACAGACCTTCAGATGACTAGAATCCTATGCCAACCCCAGCACGCTAGCTTAAGTGTGTTAGTACTAAGTTTAATAAAAGACAGATCTACAATGTTAATGCCCAGATGGATTCAATGCCAAGGAATAAAGACTGCTATGCCAAATGCCAAGTCCACACTGGTTTTATTTTTTATTCAAAGTGTACAATATGCTGTATACAGTTGCTGGCAAATCTGCTAAAATGTAAAAAGGCTGGTAATTGATGTAATTATATCAAATCTTTATATTACACAGCAGAATTTTGGCTTAGTTCACAATCCTTCTTATGTAAATAAGATAGTAGACTGGACAACATCACAACTCCATCAAACCTAAAATTCACTATGACTTAAAGCCAGACTTGATGATCGGTGCAGTTAAAAACAGAATAAATGGTACAATAAATAAGTAATAATTGCACTTATCAAAATAAATTACCCAGCCATACAGCTGTTTTCATCAACATATGTAACATTTATATCATACAGAATTTAATTAGGAGTCTTTTAAGTGTCAAAAAGTAGTTCACACTCATCAGAGAACATCCTCCTCTGCATTTAGGCTTCTGTGTCACAATATTGAAAGCGACTAATCAACATAGTGCACCTCTGCCTGGAGCTCCTTGGTGATGTATCCAAGAAGAGCAGCCGTAAGCTGCTGCTTCAGAGTTGCATTGCCCATGACTAGAGCAATCAGCTGAGCCAAATCAGTCCACTCAATGTCTCCCAGGATTTCCATGAGATCCTCATAAAGCTTCTGCTTTTCCTGAGGGCTGAGCTCCATTATGATCTGTGGAAGTGGTTTGAATTGACCACTGGTCAGCCAGCAGCCCAGAAGGCCTCCAGCAGCCCCTCCTACAGAAGATCAAAATTTCAAACTTTTGAGATAAAGCAATAATGCTGATCACTCCAAAATAAACAGCTTAATTCCAATACATCAGCATTTATGATGAATCTATATGATTAGAAATGGTTCCTAAAGATAGAGGAACTGTTGCATTGTTCCACTCACCTACAGCTATGCCAAGAGGACCTCCAACCAATCCTCCAGCAAAGGCCAGCGCCCCAGCTGCTGCTGCTCCTTTCCCAGAACCTTTTACTGTGGTCCTAACTTGCTGATTGGTGGACAACTCACAACACAGCTTCATAACATCATCGATTCGTGGAGACATCCTGTGGATTAGATTTGCGATTCATAAAACAACTGCACAATTTAGACATTTTTGTTCAACATTTCAGCAACACAGGCCCATAAAAGTTGAAAGGATTTGAAATTGTGTTTTTATTTAGAATTGTTCCCTCATAATTTATTAAATACTTTCAGTTTCACAAGATTGGGTACAGCAGCAGCATTGCCAACATTTCAGCAGGTTATAATTGAAAAATAACTTCAAAATTAAATAAATGAACAAAATACCAACACAGCTTAGCTCATCTTAAATTCCACACATTACTTGCTAAACATTTAACATTTTAAATAGCTAAAATAAGAAACTTCAGACGTAATTAAATCAGTTCTCAATGAAAAAATAACATTAAGCTTAAAAATAAAACAGAACAAAGTTAAAGGTAAATATGAGACAATGAGTAGAAGTGATATAAATAGGTTAAAAAAAAAAAAATCAATGACCGGTATCTCGAAAAGCTAGGTCACAAAGGTCTTTGTTTTTAAAATGCTTTGCCTTTATGTACACTCCAGATAGGTATGCTGACGTAAACGGTCATACTTTTACCGAGCATGCGCCCTCAGATTGACTCGTGAACCCATCATTTTTATTTCACTGTTAATAAGAGTCTGACACTTTTACTAAAATCAAAATTTTTTTACTGTCAGCTATTGTACGCACTGATTTGTATAATTATATACAGAGTGTTTTTAATTACAGTTAAATTCAGACTCTCGTCACAATAAATGGTTAAATAAACCATAATTACACATCGAAGTTTAGGAATAATAAAGTCATTAACAACTCAAACGGACTATTTGGGCTGTTGATAATTAATACATTTTGGTGAGTGTTCTTGTGTTATGAGACTTCTGGCTTAATGCAAGTTAAACTGATAGTATTATCTATCCATACAGCCGCAATTTAATCACCGTGAGCCCTTATCTCACTTCAACTGATGCTGAATTTGGCGACCTTTACTAAAAACAGTTTTTGAAAAAAACAAACAATTAACATTATGAATATTCTTCCCGCATGCTTTCGTATTGTTAAGGCGATCAAGCAATCAAAAGCTTCATAACAGACTGCGCAGCTCTGTCATTTCTGCAAAACTCTGTCAATTCAAATTAAAGCCATAGCTGCTTCACCATCCACAGTAAACGCTTGGCACATACCTTGCTGTCTATTCAAATCCTTATCGACATTTACTGGTCCTGTTTTTACTATGTCATTCTCATTATTTGTTGAGCTCGGCCGGGCTCCGCATGCGCCTCATGATATATGAAGCTTGCTGTATGACTCTTGCCGCAATGCCTGATGGGAATGCGCTGGGAAGTTGCATTCAAGTCCAAAAACTACAAACGTGTAAACCACATTTAGCCGAATTAAAATAGAGTGTTGAGCCTAAATTCCAATACAAGTTTCAGCAATGTATAATATTTTTAGACTAGCCTAAATTAGTATTGTTATATTTTTCTTACAAATTGTACATTTTAACAGCGTGTGAGTTTATAAATATAGCATATATGGCATCAAGCCATTATAACGTATTCTTAACTTAAATACGTTAAAATATCATTGGACAGTTGAAAATAGTCTTTGATTTTCAGGCCAAATAATCTGTGTTCACTGTGCTTTAAAGGATAAACTCTGAATTATTAGCCGTTCTTTTTTATAGCTTGTGTACACATTGTTTATAACTGGTGTTTCTCATATTTCCAACAGGAATTAAAAGCAACAAAAACAGACTATTTAATTCCTGCCACACAGGAAGGTTGGGAGCTTGGGGATAAATCATATTGTTGTTATCATATTAAACCAAACTCATTCAACTGCCGTGTTTGATTCGGTCGTTACTTCTAATACTTTTATAGGCTTTTATGTGATGTGTGTTTAAATATTATATGTAAATTTTCGTGCAGCATCGGGAAGGTGAAGATGGGGAGGTTTGCACCTGCTGCCAGTTAAATAGTGCCTGAATGTGCAAATCTGATGTGCTTGTCACTGTTTTTATATGCAGGTGGAACAACATCACCTCGCTTTAGATTGTTTACATCTGTGCAGACGTTCATATTTACCCAGAGTACACTGGGAGGAAGAACTGCATCAAGCTCGCTTCATTTGAAACCAAAACGGAAAATGCAATGTTTGACATTTAAAATAAAAGCATTAAATGAGAAAGGAAAGAGATGCATTAAATGCTAAAACTTTTGAAGTACTCGTGGAGTCATGGTAAAAATAAAATACACACTTTTTAAATGTAATCATTTGTAGTCACAGGATGTGTGCGCCTCGCAATTATTAAGACTACCGAACTCAAGGTGTTGCAGTGGCCCAGTCGACCTCCATATCTTAAGCTTCCATACGCAAGCTGAATTACTTGTGTGAATCCAACACGGACTGATTTTTTAGCCTTACGAAAAACTTGCTGATGTGAAACTAGAGGCTGGGCTTGAGAGTAGAAAGAAGCCACCACAAGGTGTGCACTTTGTTGTGACTGTAATTTTTACCAGATTTATTCCTATTCACTTCTGTCCACCAAAAGTATAATTGTTTTAGTTTTTTTTCTTTAATTTTACGTTTTGTATTTGTTTTTGTTAATGCTAACCCAAGTATACAACCGAAGTCTTTTATTTTGAAAGTTCAGACCGGGACCACCCTGGAATAACGGTTGAGTTCTTGGAGTTGGACGGAGGTGCATGGCGCAGCGAGAGTGACAAGGAGTATTGGCTAATCTTCGGATATTCAGACTGTGGATATTTTTGGAAATCATGCAGAAATTCTGAAATGAGAGTGTGAGATGATATCACTTCCGAAAGTGTGGATAACTATCACTGACCCATTGATGAATACGAGCAGAACGGGTCTCAGGAATAGCTGCTGCTGCATTCATAAACACTTCTTTAGAACTCACAACAGCTCTTGAGCTTTGTTTTGGGGTCACGAAACACCAGAAATTTATTTTGTGCAAGTGGGTTGGCAATGGCTGAAAAGGGTCAAGTGGATATAGAACACCTCGGCGGAGTTACCAGGCTCCGAGAGGAGCACGAAAAGGTAATATCACCAGTTGTCGCGAAACATTTTGCTGGCTAGTATGCATCGTTAGCCAAGCCACCGTCAGTCACTGGCCACATGGTGCACCGGGGAAGGTCTTGGAGCCACTTGCTGGGACTTGCTGAAGTACCTTTTACTGCAGATACACACATCTGTGCCATTATTGTTTCACAGGTTACACAAAGAGCGTTTGTTGTTTTGACTTTCAGTTTTCGAGAAGCTTCCTCCTTCTGCGCTCACATGTTCAAGTTTAAATGTTGTAGGAGGGCGTGCTCAGCTATGTTCGTTTCTTGGCATTAAAAAAAAAAGAATTTTATACCAGTGCTGTTTGCTTCTTTACTTTGGGAAGTAAATTTCACCTAGATACAAAACCACTGTGTTTTTATTTCATTTTTTTTGCTTCATTTTTAAATTATTAATTTTGTGTTTGTCTCGTCCTACTTCCTCGGAGTTGCTGACCTACTTCCCTGTGTGTGATGATTGTCAAACTATTATTACATATAAATTCGTGCCTCTGGGCAGTTGTGTCTGCAGCCGGGGTAAAGTAAAAGCCTCGGTGAAATGAATGTTTTATCACAGATGATTTAAATGTTTAAATTTTCCACCTGGAGACTGTGTAAGTTGCGTAGATTTATCAGCTTGATTCTTACTAAAATTATTTGTCCTGAAACAGGTGGTGAAAGACTGTGAAAGTCGGATTCAACACTGGTAAGCATGAAAGCACCAATGAACTTGAGCACAAAGTTGGTTGTTTTTAAAATATGCTTGCATTAACTGAGTACACTGTGCAGGTTCTTCATGTTCTAATATTCCTTCAGTGTAGTTTTGAAGTTTACTATATCAGGTTTAGACTAGAGATGGACCGATCCGATATTACGTATCGGTATCGGTCCGATACTGACCTAAATTACTGGATCGGATATCGGAGAAAAATAAAAAATGTAATCCGATCCATTAAATATCACGAAAGCACCTCACAAAACTTGCAACACGCCGTAACTCACCTCAGAACGTTAGCACGTCGGAGCAGTATGCATCACGTGATAGAGCGGCTGTGGCATGCGGGACCTGTCGGTGGTCTGGATAGCATGTGGAGCTTCGCTAGCAACCCGGCATTTCATCTCCGACAAAGTTATCCCCGAGAGAAGTAAAGCAAGTGTGTAAGTCCATCTCTGAATGTTTGTAAAGCATTCCTGCGTTAAGCTTAACAAGCGACTGCCTCTCACTCTCCGGCTGCTACTTCAATCGTGAAACTGCTTAAATGATCAGCTGATCGGCTTTTCTGTCGCGAGTCCATCTCTCTGGTTTGTTTTTGGCCCACTTTGCACCAGAAAGAGGAAACCAGCGGATAAACAACAGCAGCCGTTTAAGCTTGATCAGCTGTTGTTAGAATTTATTTAATATTACTTTCTACACCAGGATCTTTTTCTACGTAGCTGACGGCTGGTAACTGTGCAGGGGCGGATCTAGCAAAGTTTAGCCAGGGGGGCCGATAGGGCATTAACTGGGAAAAGGGGGCACAAAGACATACTTTTCTTTCTTATTCCATTTAAAATGTCGAGCTTTTAATAAATAATTATCTGACACCCAAAGTTTTAATTTGATGTAAAATGAATAGAAGTCAATTACTGTATATAGTGACTATTAAGTCTAATATATATACCCTAGTAAGCTATAGTACTTTTTCCTTTGGGAAGGTACCATCTGTGCAGTCTGCAATTTTGTTGAAGAAAGATGTTGAATCTATTTAATATTTCTTGAAAAATAATTGATTTCTGTGCATTTTTTTTCACACTGCATCAAATTAAGGTTGATTACGTCGATTAAGCATCATGAGGTGGGCGTGAGGGGTGGTTCCCTATTTTTTATTTATTTATTTTTGTTGTTGCTGGGAGTTGGAACCCTATTAGTTAGGTTGCTTAATATTTACGCTAAGTACTCTTTAAAATACCAGAATAGGGAGGATGGTGTAGGTTAAGTTTATTAGATTGATCAGTATTGCTGAACTATGAAATATTTTTTTTGTATACAGGTATAACAGAATAGCTTTAGTGTAGTTGTTGTTTTAAACTTGAGTATGAACTTGCAGACTTGCAAAATGCAGCAAGATATTTTAAAAAAACAGTTTTGTTGATTAAAAAACACTATATCGGATTCATATCGGTATCGGCAGATATCCAAATTTATGATATCGGTATCGGACATAAAAAAGTGGTATCGTGCCATCTCTATTTAGACTCATTTTTTTTTTGCCCTATTTTGCACACTGCTGTTATAACCAAAAATTGATTCTTTTAGGGTCATCAATACTTTCTAAATTGACAGAAAACGTCAGTTGCTTATCAAGTTTGTGCACACCCACACAGTGATATTCTTTTATTTCCTAATGAAGTGTTTGACCTTTGCTCAGGTTCCAGCAGGCCCCATTTCACAGCACAGATTTTTGACTTTTTATTGTAGGTGTTACTGTTAGTGTTGTCAACAGCCCTGGAGTATTTAACAATAAACAGTGCCTGTGATGCAAAACAGCAGGTTAGTGACATGGAAACACCTTAACAGAATTGGGTTAATAAAAAGAATGATTGAAGTATTATCAGAGAAGTAACATGTCAGGGAGGGTGGCTCCATCTCATTTCTCTTACTTAATACTCATCAATCCTTGCTTGCTATGACCTGTGGGTCTACAAGGACAGACTTCACTCTGATGTGAAATCAACAAGTTTAGATTTATTTGTTTAGCACAAATTGTGTTGCAACAGTAGGGCTGCACGATTTTGCATAAAATGAGAATCACGATTTTTTGGCTTAGAATTGAGATCACGATTTCTTTTCCAGTATAAATATTTATTGCACTTATTAACTGCACATCAACTTCGTAACAGTTGAGACTGAACATAAAAACAATAAATAAACATAAAAACAACAAATGTCTCACGTTTTGTTGTTGCCGCAAAATGTTGTACTGCTTGAAATTCCGTCTCCACCGTTGCTCGACACTGCGTGTATAGAGCAGGTAGTGCAACAATAGAAAAATAGTTGCGGGACGGCACTGTGTAGCGTTTGTCTAGGGTGTTGATCATTTTCCTAAATCCCTCGTTTTGCACAGTGTTGATGGGAGCCATATCTTTGGTCAGGTGATAAGTGAATAGCCTCCGTAATTTCTTTGTGCCTGCGGGAGTTCGACGGTATAGGGAAGCGCTGTATAAGGTTCCCGTTATTGATGTTTGGGTGGTTGACCGGGACGGATTTTCTCCTGTCACTTTCTCGTCATCCCTGACGTGCTCTCCGTTGTTTTTTCCTGCTAATTTTAGCATCACACGGCACAGCTTCTGTATCACGTGGTATAAGGCTCCGCCCTTGTCATTTGTTGAGCAGGAAGAGTGAGCGCTTGTTTTCATGCAGAGTACGTCCCGGATCAAAATGCGGTACAATCGTCGTCTTTTTTTTTTTTTTTTTTTTTTAAATCGTTGTCATTTGGAAATGAGATCGCACATAAGTATGAATCGAGATCGCGATTTTCTAACGATTAATCGTGCAGCCCTATGCAACAGCACAGCTGATTAAAAATAAAACTAGCTTATTTTATTGAATGTGCACATGCAAGTAGTTTACAAAAGGGAAACATGCAGAGATGCTGTATATGGACAAAAATACTGGGCCACTTACACATTACACTACGGGAGCTGCTCAGCCATAGAAACCTGTGCCATGAAGCTCCGAACACACAGCTTTTGTGCTGATCTTAATGCCAGAGGAGGTCTGTAGCTGCTGAGTCGGCAGAGTGATGACTTTTGTCTACTATGCGCTTCATTACTCAGTGTCCTCTCTCTGAAACTTTACATGGTCTGCCACTTTGGTTCCCGAATGCTTTTACTCTAGTAGGAAAGACATTTATCGACAGTACCACGCTTGAATTCAGTGAAGTCTTTGGAAAGACCAGTTCTTTCACAAATGTTTGTAAATGCATGTTTAGGTGATGGATTGTAAGTACTTGAATTCAAAGATTTAAAGGTGTGTCCCAGTATTTAAGTGTATATAGTACATTGCCATTTGTCGTATTTGAGGAAGTTACTACTTTGTTTCAGTGGCAGTAGTCTGTTTTTGTGCCTTGTTATACTACAGGCATTTTAAGCAGACATAGATTAGCAGAGCTGCTAACAAAAAAAAAAGATGCTGAAAGTATTGCTGCATTTAAGAGAATTGACATGTGGTGTATGCACAGAGAGACATTAAGAGATAGTAGAGCTCTTAACAGACAGATAAAAACACCTGTGTGAGTGGACCATGACTGTGTAGGGGCTTCACTGCAGGGTAGATTTGCTACAGTAAGTGCATTTCCATTGATTCTAAGTAGGGGGTGTTAGCATCAGTGTTTTAAGTATTATTGATTAAAATAAGAAAAGTGCATGTAGGTTTTGTGTTATTACATTTATTTTGCATTATGTGTAAAATGAAAGAGAGTACTTGTCAGTAAAAGGGCAATAAAACATTTCTTTATAACAGATGTGTAAACATTGTCCTGTAAGTCTCGACAGACTCACACAGGTGATTTCATTTCCACTGACTAGGGCTTTTAAGACTATATGGGCGTGCATAGAGTGTGATAAATATCTTCCTCATGCTCCTATTAGCATTCACGGACCTGACGTGAGATAAATCCCCTTTTTGTTATTATTGATACATTAATCCAGTCCAGTTACACACTATTCAGTGTAGTTTCTCTCACGTTTCTTTTACACAAGGGTCTGATTTGGCAGAATATTTGCCTATTCCCAAATTAAAAACAAAAAAAGTAAATTCAAAAGAAGAAGCAGAAAAATATCTTAAAATATGCTGAGGCCACTGTATTGCACTGTGAATCTAAAGCTCCCCTCTCAATGTCTTTATTTATTTTTAAATTCACCACTGCTGAAAATACTCTTTCTATCCTTCCAACACAGTGAGTGAAGTGTGTGTGTGAGTGATCTAAAATAATAGACAGTGTACGAGAGAGGTGAAGAATAGAGTACAGACAGGGTGGAGTGGATAGAGATGAGTGCCGGGGTGATTTGACAAATGGATAGAAGAACGAGGGAAAGGGAAGGCTTACAAGATGGTAGTGAGACCTGCTATGATGTATGGTTTAGAGGTGTTGCTACTGATAAAAAGACAGGGGGTAGAGCTGGAGGTGACAGAGTTGAAGATGCTCAGATTTCTGTTGGGAGTGACCAATAGGGATAGAGATTAGGATATTGGCAGGACAGCTTAGGAAACAAAGCTAGAGGTGTAAGATGGAGATGGTTTGGACATGTGTAGAGGAGAGATGGTTGGTATTTTGGAGCTGCCAGGCAGAAAGGAAAGAGGAAGACTGAAGAGTAAAGTCATGGATACAGTGAAGGAGGATATGTGTATAAGAGTTGGAGGTAGATGATCTGCTGTGGTGGCCCCTTAAAGGAGCACGCAGTAGAAGATTTATGATGAAATTCACACAGTTTGGCTTTTTTAATCATAGCTACAATCTGTACACTACCATGGTGGTTTTTAAGTCAAGCGGTCAGTTGTTTTTATTTAATTGCTTAAGATTTGCAACCATTTTTATACACGCTCCCCCATTTTCAGAGGCTTAAAACTATTTGCACAAACAAACATACTTGTAAATATAAGGATCTTTTTAAATACTTGAATTAAAAAATCCTTTCCAGTCAATGTCTGTCGAAGTGCTGCTCTGTTTTCATGCAGCCACCTTCATTTGCTGCTGCTTGTTTGTTTTTTGGGGGTCTCTCCACCCTCAGTTTTGTGTTCAGTTTTTGAAAAGCAGGATCTGCTGGGATGAGATCAGGTGACCGACTTGGTCGCTGAAGAATATCCCATCTCTTTACTCTTGGGTTGCTTTTGCAGTTTGCTTTGGATCATTATCTGTTTGCAGTGTGAAGCACCTTCGGATCAGCATTTGGTTGAGTCTGAACAGAGAGTATAGCTCTGTACACTTCACAGTATGTACTTCTGTCAGTAGTGACATCATCAGTAAACACTCCTGGCCCAGTTTCACTGGCAGCCATATGTGCCCGTGCTATAACAATGTCTTCACCACGTTTGAGAGACGATGTCGTGTTCTTCAGCTCATGGGCTGTTTCTCTCCTCCTCCATACCTTTTGCTTTCTATCATTGTGGTAAAAGTTAATTGTGGTTTCATCAGTTCAGTTTTTTTTTTTCCCCAAGAACTTGCAGGGGCTTTCACATGTTTTCTCTAACGTGTAATCTGACCTTTCTGCAGGCCAGATTACATAGGTTCATTTTGTTTGTTTCCCAAGAAGTAGATTCTGTTTTAAATCATTCATTCAAGTGACTTCTTTAGTCTCAGCTGACTGCAGGTTTCCCCACCCTTATAAACAGTACCTTTGAACAATGACTGAAACTAGCACCACTGACGAACAATGGCTTTGAGGCCAGCTTCTTGATCATTGTTTGTTTGTTTTTTAACCATTATAATGGCCTTCATTCATCAACATCTCCTCCAGTAAACAGCTGCTAAATCCAAATTAAAAGCTTATAATCGACTAAAGATCTTTTATCTGTATTACTTGTCATGACATAAGGGAACAGGCTTCACCTGACAGTCAGTCTGCTTGTCAGTTAATCCAACTGCTTGGAAACCAACAACTTATGGATGTAACTGCATACAAAGTTCATAAATGTAAAATTCCTAAATCCTACTGAAAATGCATTACAAAAGCTACACAAAAGTACTGTTGCCTCCATTGCTGTAGCTGTTTACTAATTGGATTTTAAAGTGCTCATTAAAGAGTTTGGTTTCAAACATTTGATTGCAAGAGGAGAGTGTAAAGGAGAAAATACTCTTCCAACAGATGACTGGAGGGATTTATTACCCAGTATGAGGGGGCTGTTGGCAGCACTGTGCTTTCAAATGGGAATATAACACTTGCTGTAAAAGGCATTGGAAGCTGAGCCTGATTCAGTAGTTTATGTTGAGGATGCTGTCATAAAGCTTTGGTAGCTGTGGTCCATTTACAAAGTGGTCAAGTGATTTTTGCTGAGGGGATTTTTTGTTTCTGTTGTCTTTATTGTATAAATATGATAAGAAATTTTAATTAGCTGGTCCTTTTTCTTCTTCCTTCCTTCCTTCCTTGGTCAGTTTCTCTTCCTATAATTCCTAAGGTTTTACAATGCCCAGCAAAAAATAAGTAATAAGAATAAGTAAATGAAAAAAACAGTGACATCTTGAGGCTACTTTAGCTGCTATGCCACATTTGCCCTCCCCAAATGGAAAACAGGCGCTCCCCCTTTACTCTATTGTTTGCTTCCCATTGTTTAAATTTTGACTTATCCCAAATATGACAAACACACCAAATTAGACAGGATGGCTTCAGAGAGCTGTGGTTTCATTGGAGAAACCTTTTGTTTGCAGGAAGAAGGTGTCGGGTGACTATGAAGCCCTGAATGACCGCCTCAAAACTCTGCCAGATCAACTGTCATATGACATCATGGTGAGTGATGACCTTGTTTAAAATACAGAGGAAAGGAGAGAATTCTAAAATACACAAAAGTTCACTCCTATATACGTTTTACTCCTTTATTTGCGTTTGCTCTACCTGTTTGATTTGACCTGTTTCCCTTTTTTTGTTTTCTTGCGCTCTGTTTTTCCACACGTGCAGGTACCATTTGGCCCTTTGGCCTTTATGCCCGGAAAGCTGGTACACACCAACGAGGTCACAGTGTTGCTGGGTGATAACTGGTTCGCCAAATGCTCTGCCAAGCAAGCTCAAAAAATTGTTGATCACAGGATGAAATGTGAGTATTTTCCTTAAACTATGTTTTTTCACTTCTCACTGAATACTTACCGCGTGACATTAACATAATCTGCTAGTGCTGCTTTTCATCCAGCAGAGGGCGCAAGTGCATCATATCAACATAGCTCGTCTGAGCAGATCCTTGAAGGAAAAACTTTAAACCGTGTAACGATTCACCACAGCAGTCATACATATGCAAAGATGCTACAGCTGTTGGACGTTTGTCATAGCGGGTTGCCGACACATTCGACGCGCCTTTATTTCAATGTGCAGTGTTTGCAGGGCTCATGGACTGCGCAGCTTTTGCGTTCAGTCAGGTCACCGCTGTCGCTGCTTAGGCTGTGAACCGTGGGATAACAGCTCCTACCTGTTCCTATTTTCTGTGGTCAATTCGGGCCCTGTTACTGCAGCGGCTTTGTTCGATCTCACATCAGTTGTGTGCAGCTTTGCTTCCCTGTGTGTGTTAACCCCGCTGCTCATTTCTAGCTCTGAAAATCTCATATCAAGTCAAATGGGCCCAAGTAACGATCTCTGATGTGAACATTATTAGAATGTTTAGTGAAGCAGAAATGTGCTGCCACAGCCCCATCCGCAGCGCCACCCCCAACCCCCCCGCTCTCGTCCTCCCCCATCTCCTGACCCTGCCCACCCTGCTATTACAGAGCTAAGTGCTGTAATACAAACATAGCTAGCTGAAATGTGTCAGACAGCGGCTGAGTTGTCAGGCCTTCTGTGTTTGACCTTTCCTCACTTCCAGTTGATGCACTGACTGGAGGGGCTCCCGATTGCCATGGAAACAAGGGCCCTCTGCTGCTATTAGTGAAAGGGCTTAATTGTTGTGAAGATTTAATGATCCGGAGTAGTATTCAGGGCAGAAGATATTATCAACTGTTTGTGTCATCATTTTTCATTTTTTTTCTCTTCACAACTTGTTTAGGATTTTAACTCTTTACAAGCTGGTTGTCTTTTTCCTTTTTTTCTTTTTGAAGCGTTTCATTGAAATCTGCCTGCTGTCTCTGTGTCTTTTTTCGGCACATGTGGCTTTGTCAGTTTGCCCTCCTAAGTGCACACTTTAATGAAAATGCATCTGCTGTCTACAGATGTGAAGAATGAACTAGATGGCCTGTCCAAGACGATAAAAAACTTTGAAGCCAGAGTTGGGTTTGCGAAGAATTTGGAAACCATCTCTGCTGTATGTTGCATTACCAACAAGTTGTCTCACACATAAGTTATTGTGCAAGTCATAAATGGGGGCAAAAACATTAACTGTAGTGTTCTTGTTCTTTTAGAGTAAAGGCGACTATGTTGACATCAGAGAGGAGGTTGGAAACAATGACTCTGTTGTCACCAAAGGTATCTTTGTCAGCCTTTCTTCTGACCTCATTTCACTTGTGCATCATGGCCGCAGAGAAAGCAGTGTAGCTTTTCACCTATTGCTTAATTCTACACCAGAATTAAATTCATATGTAGGCGTGAATAGTTTAAAGGTTTCTTTTTCTGTACGCTTTAACAGGAAAGCAAAGAATGGCTCACAAGCCAAACTCTAAGCCCAAGCAGGATGTGTTTTTTGATTTTAAAGAAGAGGATGAGGAGAATGAGGAGGAAAGCAGAGATAGTGGAAGCAGGAAATGCATTATGACTGAGGAGGAGCTATGGGCTAGATTGGATGAACTCGAGAAGCTGGAGGAGCTACAAGATGAGCAGGACAAGTATGTGAAGATACTTTTCTGTTTTTGTATGAGGATCAATAATCCTGCTCTTTCTCTGTTCTTTTTCAAAGTTAGATATTTTGTTTTTTTCCCCTTCAGATTATCTGATAATGGAGACATGAATGGTGAGGACACATCATCCTCTTCCTCAGAAGAGGAGAAAGATGCAGATGCTGCGACTCCAGTAAATGGGCTGAGTTTGAAGCCAGGTTGGAGCGCGCTGCCTTCCAGCACAGCACCACTCAGACAGGACAGGAAAGAGGAAGACGACTTTGAGGAGGAAGAGGAAGCCAACTGTTTGCCTACTATCTACTTTTCTCACACAGTCGAACCCAAGAAGGTTAGAGCAATGAATAAGTTAGAACATCTGTGAGTCTTCTGTGAGTTTTCTCTTCATCTTTCCATGTGTCTGCCTTTTGCATCAGGTGAGAATAAATACAGGCAAAAACACCACACTGAAGTTTAGCGAAAGGAAAGAGCAGAAGGAACACTCGAAGAGGAAAAAGAAAAATGGCCACAGCAATGGACATGCTCATCACGAACTTCACAAAATCACAACACCGGCAGACCTTTACAGGTAAAAATATTGCAGTTAGACTTAATGAACAAATGAATTTTGCATGTCTAAAACTGAAATTTGGCCATAAACAGATTCTGGTTTGAAGTATGGAAAAAAAAAATTGGCCACATTGTATTTTCAGTCCCATTACCACACGTGTATAAAATCAAGCAATACAAACCAGTGAAGAAATGGGTCACTCTAAAGCACTCACTGTTGAGTGCTGTAATAGGTTTGGGGAAATTTCTTCCCTCTCTTCCTGATCAGCTGCTAGTGGCATTACTGCAAAGTAGAAGCACTGAGGAGCTACACCAACTCAGTCACTGTTATCTCAATAACTGAATGCTGGCATTGAGAGCATATTCATAGTTGGCAACGCTGACTCAGTAACGATGGAGTTATAAACCTGCTTTTGCATTAACATCAGCAAAAATAACGTGTCCCAGGAACTTTTGAGCAGCTTCTGTGGGTGTAACATTTTGGTGGCCCAGTACTTTTTTTCATATACTTCATGTTTAGCTGCTTTGACTGGTGAAACTGGACTCTTACTTTGTTTTTGTTTGTTTTTTTTAATCAGGTTGTTTGTAGATGTGAAAAATGGGGAACCCATACCTAGGAAGTCCATACTGAAGTCACGCAGTCGAGAGAACAGCGTGTGCAGCGACACAAGTGAGAGCAGCGCTGCAGACTTTGAAGAGCGCAGAATTATGGGACGCAGCTTCAGTCACGACGAAGCAACGCACAGCGACACCAGCGATGGCATCACAGAAGAGGACAGTCCCACAGCAGTGTTGCTGCAACCTCCCAGCAGATTTGAGGTGAAAGAGAGCTGAATGCTTCAAAGTATTCAGCTCAGAGTAAATGTAACATTTAGAAAAGTTTCAGCATTGAGTTTGTTGTTTTTACACTCATTTCGATTAAATGTATGGTCTGCATGATTCAAAGTTACTGCACTTGTGTTATTTCTTTTTAAGTAGTGTCCCAGCTTTAAGTTGGTTTAGTATTTGTTACCTGAACACGTTTCTTTGTATAGTTCTTAATCTCATTTTGGTGTGAAAGATTCTGCAATATATCCGAGCACAAATATATGAAAGTGTGACGCAACATCAGTTTCCTTACTGTTGTTTCTTTTTTATCTCTCCTTCTCAGGCTTTTTCAGGTACAGTTATAGAAAAGGATCCAATGCCCTCAGCTGTCCCTCATCTGACCATCTCTCCACCAGCTCTGCCAACAATACTGGAGAGGAAACAGGAGGAGGTGGCGCCTGATGTTGCCCCACCCCAGCAAGCCCCGAAGAGGGTGTCAAAGTTCAAAGCTGCCCGATTGCAGCAGAAGTGACTGTTAAGAGGCAAATATTCAGCTTTTACATGAACATCTTTTGTGAAGCCTTTGTTTCTCTCTGGTAACTGAACAAAAAACAAACCACATGCTCATTTCTTTGCACGCCTTTCATCCACTGATTTTCTGTTTCTGTCTGTGAAGTAGAACACTTAACAAATCAGCCTTTGTGTAACACTGCTTTTTTACGGTTTATTGCAGCCTCTTTTGCTTATCTGCTTTAAAAGACATTCTTCTTTTAGTCTTGCTTAAGACATTTGCAGTCTGTCATACGTTTACCTGTCTACTCTTCTGTTGATCTGTGATATCGCCAGGTTAACTCCGACTGTAGGCTTTGCCACATAAGATGAGTTGCCTTTTTTGTTTGTTTGTTTGTTTTCCCCCAGTATTGATTATTAAACAGAATCAGGTCTCGTTAGCTCTCATTTTACCTTGTCTTGACCTGTCCTACTGAATGTATGTATTCCTTTGTGACAAGCTTTATGTAAAACAGAAAAAATATTGATGGAAAGTAAAAGAAGAATAAATGATTTTGACTACAAGTCTTGATTTCTCTTTGTTCCATAAGAGAAAATAATTCTTACTCTCCTACACAAGATGGATCTATATTTCATTTATGGTCTGCTGACAGGGCTTTATTGTGTTTCTCAATATCTTATACCAAAATGTTTTTCTCCAGTTGTTGTTGCACACAGCACAGTAATAATGGGTAATAATATTTTAGTTTTTTTAATTTTTTGCCTGACGCCTAGTGTAAATTGTTTCAGTCTTTAAATAGCTGTTACTAGACGCTGAGATAAAGCTTTTATGAATTATTGTTACTCCTAGTGAATTTCCTGTTATGCAGTGGAATTAGAAGAGCTAAGTAAAGCACCATCCACCATCGAACTTTCTAAGGCAGCAATAATGCTTCATCAAATCTGGAAGTTAATTGAAAGCAAAATGGCTCCTCCTGTTAGTAAAAACTCAAGTCCTAAAGGAAGAGAAAGAATTCCCAAGACAAACAAATCGAGGATGTTTTGGGTGCAACACCAACATTTCACTGCTAAAGACCAGAAGCAAGTATTATTTACAGATCAAAGTCAGAAGTTCATGGTTGCATTAAATGTGCTTAGAAGGATAAACTGTAAAACCACTGCATGAATGTTGAGAAATATGCAGTTCAGAGAACAATGAGTGAAACAGACGATTCAAAGAATAAAATATGAGACGTATTTTGCAGGTTGTTTCCTAAAACAAAATATTCATTCGTTGTATTTTATATTTTTTTAATGTATTTTTTTTTACATAAATGGCCTATTTGAAAAATAAGTGCTTATAAATGCATTATAAATTGTGCTCTTTTAAGTAACAATCACGTAACCTTCAAAACTAAGTAACAGTTTCCTGTGACTCTACTTACAGTTTCAAAACAATCATAGGAAAAATCCAGAAGGGCCTTTTTTTTTTTTTAGCTGGATGAAGTAGTGAGGGGAGGTGTTCTTGTTTTTAGTGGCCTAAAAGGTCAAAATGCTGAACTCAACTGAGCACCTATTGATTACTAGCACAGCAGCGGATGCACATGTACTTCATCTACACTGAAATGCAGCTTTAATTAAAGCTATGATTTTTGAATTAAAAACTCTATCACTCCCCTTTTAGTTAAATGGTGGGAGTGTATGTCCCTGATAAGAAGCTTTGAAACAGGTCCAGAGGTGACACCCCTCACCCTCCTCCCTTCCAGGATTATTCCTCCAATATGAAAATCTAGGTAGCATGAGACAGATTAGGCAATGCTTAACATGCTAGAGTTGTGTTGGTGAGACACAGATCAATGGTCTTATGTAGGTTAAGCTGCGTAGGTATATGCTGGAACTACATTTCAAAGAAAACTTGCATACAATCTATGTAATGAGCTGGAACACACTCGAGATCTACATTTCAGGGATTATGAGGGATTTTAAGAGTTGTATGATTAGTGATTCAGCAGGTATTGTTGTCCAGACAGGTGCTTGGGTCTGAGAGGGGGAGCTTTTAGTTCCAAATGACAGAAGAATGGATTAAACAGCAGCCAGTGTATCTGCTTCACTGCTATTTGAACATATGTTATGAAATATCCAACGGTCTTGTACTTGGATCATTTACACACTGCCTATAAGAGCAACTGGTTTCTGTTCCTCGCTTTTTCCACTAATGAGGCTCAGGTGGAAATCACAGGAGAGAAACAAATGTCCAGGAACAGCTTTGTGATATGATCTTTGCGCTGCTCTTTCGATCCATAATCTCTTAAATCCTCTGAAATGTCATTTTTTTTGTTTGCTTTAGTTTGCTTTGTGTGTGTTATTAAAGCCTATATATTCATAAATAAAATCAATGGGACGACTACAGCAGCATATTATAGAACTGTTAGAGCTGAATTCATTTGTCAATAATTTATAAACCGATTGAGAGAAAATGAGAAACCTGTAACATGTTACCAACTAGTTATCAGTGTGAGCTTGTCTTATATTGATAAATTCAGTACCTTTAAGTTTTGGCCAGAAAATGTAAAAAATTAAAGATAAAAAAAATCACTTCCCCCAATGAAAAACAAACAGTGGTTACGGCCTTAATGATGATAAAAATCAATGCTTCATAGAAAACACCTTCATCTACAACTAAATGAAGAACCCAAGGACCTGTTGATGTCTGTCTATCTATCTATCTATCTATCTATCTATCTATCTATCTATCTATCTATCTATCTATCTAAAGATTACATTTTTGATAGTAAGCTCCACTTTGTCTCCACTTTTTTTTTCTTTTATGACGGTTTTTATCTATCTAAAGATAGATTTAAAAAAGATAGATAGATAGACAGATAGATAGATAAATATTCTCTTATCTATATATTTGCATTAGAAGCAAGATGGCAAGATTTTCTTTTCCTTTTTGGAGAATACTGAATGTCAGGCGGAGAGCAGAAGTGTGAGAGATGCTTCAAGCCTCCAATTAAGCTTTCTTAATAGAGTCATTTACCACCTATAATCACTCAGGTATAATCCCGTCTTCTCTTAAACGTCGAAAACCCATATCGGATGCGAAAAAAATAAGCAGCAGCTGCAGCACAAAGTGTTCTATACAACATCTTCCCGATATAAATGTGTATAATTTTTTAAAGATGAGAGCTCCATACAAATCCTTCGTGCTTTCACAGAAGTTTTCAAAAATAAAAGCAGCACTCTTGCAGGTAATCCCCGGGACTAATGTGACACGCATGATATAACATAATACTTCTACAAGCATGCATATCGGGGGGGGGGGATTGATTTCTAAAGTCTGCGTTCTGGAGACGCTGGTGCACATTTTACGCACGGTACCAGTCTGTTACACTTACATACCAGCGGCCAGATGAGGGAGACATACGGCTTCGGGACATGTCGAAGTATCCCGAGTAATTTTTTATAAGATTTCATTACCTCTTTCTTCAACTGGAAATACTACAGAGCAAAGCGCGTTGCTGGCTTCGTCTGGCTAAACCGTGTAAACGCTTTTTTTAGACCGAGAGGGAAAAGGTAGTTAAAGGAGGAAATCAATGCGCTACTGTGTGCTGGGCGTTTATGATAAAGCGTGTGAAGCGTACAGTCCGTCAGTCAGCAGTCAGTCATCCAGTTCAACATCACTCTCCACTGAACTCCAGCTGTCACATCGTGTCCTCCGCGCCTCTTCGAACTGGCCAGGTAAGAGAAATCACTGCGACTCTTAAAGATTTACCCAAGTTATTTGTGAAAAGTTTCTGACGAGTCGGATTCTGATGGACACGCGTTTCCCAGGGATGCCACTGTTGGTTTTCTTTCTTGTTAAAAAGGAAGTAATGGCGAGGGCTGAAAGGTGACTAAGGAATTTTCTACAGCTCATCGTAAAAATTAGTCGAGAGTCATCCAATAGAACGCAAAAAATACCAAATCTGTGTATTTCTCTGGTGTTTATTGAGCATATAATTAGTATACAGTTAGACCACGAGCATCATATTCTATCATATTTCACTGCAACCTTCAATTATATCATATTATTGCATACAGGTTTTTTCTTCCACATAATGTAAAATTATGATTTATAAACATTAAAAATGAGGGTTTTTATACTATAAGTTGTGTAGTTATGAATAAGAATGACGCAAGGTGGCTGTGCATTACAATCCCCAGTTTGCTTGTTAAAGACAAGCAGGAGCCCAAAAGAATTCACAGTTTTAAAGTTGTAGTTTTGACACCTCAAGCAGCATTAAAAGCCCACGTTTTAGGTTTTGTAACCTTTTTTCTTAACTATCACCTGTACAGAGTGGCACAGCTACTTTCAAAGCCACCCTCACCCTCTGCCCCCCCCTTCTCCTTCCTCCTGTTTCCAAATGCTCTCCTTTGAAGCGATGATGCCCCATCTGTCATATGTGAGCAAAGAGAGACCATGCTCTGCTCTTCTCAATTACTGAATTCTCCTCATGCCAGCTCCGGTGGGACAGGAGGAGGAGCAGGTGGGTGGCAGTCAGTACGATCAATCAACATGAAATATTCAGCTTTGAATATACACATCATTTACTAATACTGCTGCTGCTCTCCTTGTTAGAAACACCCTGAAAAATAGTTGGGGTGCTTGTCTAAAGCGTTTTATAACCGAGAGTGTGCGTGAGCTGTGACACAGTTCCTGATGAAAAATTGGGCCAGTGCATATTCAGGTGGCACCACAAAAAAAAGGGTAAACTATACGCTGCACTGACACCAGAGGGGTATCAAAAATTATTATCATTATGACTGAGAAGAAATTAGAGAGAGGGAGGGTGAGTGGATGAAACTGTATTAAATTTAGCGCCACAGCCGTTTTCTCATTATGCTGTGGTAAATTCATGCAGCTTACATGACAAAGCTCTGCTTGGCAACTTTCTCCCCTGATAGAAGCACTTGTTTGAACATGAGGCACATGATTTGAATATCTGTAATCCACGCTGAAATCAACAGGCCAGATGAACTTTTTGGCACCTTCTTACCACCACACTGAGTAGGATTTTCTCCCCCCCCCCAAAAAAAATGCCTAAGCTAGTTAGACTTTGGCTTAAAATCACTTTGAGTATGGAGACAAAGCAATGCAAAAGTAATTTATGTAGTCTTTCCCGATGCATTGTGTGGAAATCGTAGAACTTTGACCTTTCCAGTCATTCAAACTCTTCAGGAAACTTTGAATCTGCTAAGTGTCTGCACTGTGATAATATCTCTGTGATGTTGCCTCATGAAATTTGCCCGAGTACTATGGCCTTAAGTATTTGAGCTATGAGGCAATACAGTGAAAAGCATAGCCCCCTCATATGAGAACACAACAGTGAATAATTAATAACCTTGCTCCCAATTCCAGGAAAACAATAGCATATTGTAGGAACGTTGCACTAATTTAACAAGAGGAGAAAAAACAAAAAAACTTTGACAAAATGGGGAATGCTCTGCCATTGTTGTAAAGCATGTCTGTGTGAGTTTCGCTCTAGTTATTCCATCCACTGTTGCTTTTCACACTTTCTATACTGCTGTTCCATACTTGCACATAATGCAGGGGTTGCATGCTGTTTGCATGCTGTATAATGTTGTAGTGTAATGTTGTTTGCCTTTGAGATTAATCAGAACCCATTAAATACCCCTCTCTCACCTGCTGGCAGTATGTGAGGTGGAAGTGCACATGCAGGAAGCTATTTTCCACAGGCCTCCTCTCTTGGCTGTCAGCTCCCATTAAGGGGGAAGGTGTCATATCTGTAACACAGCTGAGTGCAGATGGCAGAGTGGAGGGGATGGCTCACCGATTTAAACAATGATTAATGAACAGAGATGGAAAACAAATTACATTGGACTATTGGAGGCAGGGAATTGTTTTTATGAAAATGTTAATTGTGTCTGCCAGGCTGATACCACGAGTGGGGGAAGGGTGGAGTGAGGGCAAGGTAGTGAGGCAACCAGGGGGCTAGTGATAGGACGTCTACTACTCCCCTGGCTCAGATTATCGGCGTGTCTCAGCATGCAGTGTTTAATACCGTACCTTGGCTTTAAGACCTCTAATGTGCCATAACTTTCAAGGTTTGGCTTTTTATGATGAACCCCATGAAGAATTGTCGCCCACCACTGCACCAATTAGCGTTATCTCTAATAATAAGTGGTTGTAAGTGACGAGAGAAGGCGCCCTGTTCTAGTTGTAATTATTGCAGGCGGGTGCAGCTGCACTACTTAG